AATAATATGGCAATGTTTGTTAAGATGAGCAATTTTTTTCTTTTAGCTATTGCTGAAAGGACCAATAAAGGGGTTCCCACAACAATTCAGGTTACATGTGTAGTCCAGGAACTATAAAGGAGAGAGCAGAGGAAAGAGCCCTCCTCAGAGACGCAAGTTACAGAGCCTTTTCCAGAACAGAGGAGACAACGACTGTGACCCCTCTTCAGAGTACATACGGCTGAAGAATGGCAATAGCAGTGACAGGAGGAGGAAACTCTTTGGGAAAAGATGGAAGGGGGAGAAGCAGGGAACATAACAAATGAATGAATGAAGTCTCGGCAGGTGAGTCTGCGTCTATTACGGGCAGAAAGATGGCAACACAGCACCCGGATGGAGATGATCGGCAGATGACTCTCGCTTTGAGTCTAGAGCTGAGGAGAGATCAACCTGGTACCTGCTGATTCCAGACACCCACAGAGGATTCCCTCGCCCACGGATGCGACGCTTCGCTCCACACGACAGCACGGGCCGGAGGTGGAGGCAAAGCTGTGGTTATTTCAGCTCAGGGATCTCCAGACGGCAGAACAGAAGAGAGACCCAAGTTCTGGCCCCAGTTCCACCTCTGACCCTTGACCCCAAGTACCATGTCTGCAGGGCTCACTATTATAATACGAAATGACAGACATCAAAATGCTTTGAACAGAATAAAGTATCATACTTGGAGAGTTTTTTTTTATGTGCCAGGCTCTATTCAAAATGCTTTATGAGCATGAATTCAGTGCAATACCCAGACAGCCCCTGCCGTACACTGAGCTCCACAGAGACAGCCCCAGGGCGAGTGAGAGCCGGACGGGCACTAGGTGACTCTGTGCCTCCCTGAGGAAAAAGAAATAAACGTGGGCAAAGGACATCCCAAGAAGTCCAGAGGCAAAATGTCATCATACGCCTTCTTTGTGCAAACTTGCCGGGAGGAGCACAAGAAGAACACCCAGATGCTTCGGTCAAATTCTCAGAGTTTCGCAAGAAGTGCTCAGAGAGGTGGAAGACCATGCCTGCCAAAGACAAAGGAAAATCTGAAGATCTGGCAAAGGCGGACAAGGCTGATTATGAAAGAGAAATGAAAACCTAAATCCCTCCTAAAGGGGAGCAAAGAAGTAGTTCAAGGATCCCAGTGCACCCGAGAGGCCTCCTTCGGCCTTTTGTTCTGAGTGTCGCCCCCAAATCAAAGGGGAACATCCCAGCCCCATCCGCTGGTGATGTGCAAAGGAGAGATGTGGAATGACCCCACAGATGACAGGCAGCCTTAGGAAGAGAAGGCTGCAAAGCTGAAGGAAAAATACGAAAAGGATATTGCTACACACTGAGCTAAAGGAAAGCCTGATGAAGCAACGAAAAAAAAAAAGTCATCGTCAAGTCTGAAAAAAAGCAAGAAAAAGGAGGAAGAGGAGGAAGATGAAGAATATGAAGATTCATGACCAGAGACATGCACACAGCTAGTAGCTGCTAGAAGCTTTTTCTTTTTTCTTCCTTTATAAAGCAAAAAACCTGTGCCCTGCTCAAGGTTTATTTAATGCTATAAGCTTCTTTGCTGGCCTAAGTATCCAGTGAAGATAAATTGGTAATCAAAACCAAGTCAGGGCCGGGCGCGGTGGCTCACGCCTGTAATCCTAGCACTCTGGGAGGCCGAGGCGGGTGGATCGTTCAAGCTCAGGAGTTCGAGACCAGTCTGAGCAAGAGCGAGACCCCGTCTCTACTAAAAAATAGAAAGAAATGATCTGGACAACTAAAAATATATATATATAGAAAAAATTAGCCAGGCATGGTGGCACATGCCTGTAGTCCCAGCTACTCGGGAGGCTGAGGCAGGAGGATCGCTTGAGCCCAGGAGTTTGAGGTTGCTGTGAGCTAGGCTGACGCCACGGCACTCACTCTAGCCAGGGCAACAAAGCAAGATGTCGACATCTGTCTCAAAAAAAAAAAAAACCAAGTCAGAAGTGTATAATAGGCAAACACATAAAACAAATTAACTTACTTAAATATTAACCTGCAGTCTAAGGGATTTTTAAAAAATTTAAAACAAACAAAAGAAATGACAAGCAAAGTAGATAGGGAAAACACACATACAAATGACCTGTGCTCTGATCAAATGTAATTAAGCATGGACCTCACCTGTCTTAAATTGCTTAATTGCTTGAGAAATGCATCTGCCGCCCACAAAATCTATTTAAATTTTTTCAACCTGCTCAGCGCAAACTGGAACACATGTTTAAAAAGATGCATTTAAAAAACTAAAACTGTAAGCAGAACTGTACTTTGATTAACATTAAAACTACTTCAGAAAGTTCGAGAGAATGAAGCATAACCTAGATGCTAGGTTGTGCTTTTACTTTTATGGCTTTACTAAGGTTTAACAACAAAATGGCGGGTAGGTAAAAAAAGACTTCCCTCTTTTTAGAGGTCCCTGTAGCATCAGCTGGTCTTTGCATTCAAGATTAAGCAAGACGGAACAGGGAATCATGACCAATATTCTCCATCTAAATATCAGAGGACGACCTCAGCAGCAACAAGCAGGGATGGGAGGGCACCTGAGAGGAAAGGGCAAAAGGACAAGGACAACTGCAATGGAGATAATAATCCTAAAGGCAGCTAACATTCTGTGAGCTCTTACTATATGCCAGACACTGCTATGTGCTTGACACGTGCTAATTCACTCAATCCTCTCCCTGGGAGGACAGTACTAGTATTAGTCCTGCTTTAGCAATTAGGGACCCACAGCACCGAGGTAAGGTAACTTTTCCATGTCAACACAGCCAGCTTGTGGCAGGCAGCATGCAGGCCATCCATCTCCCTACAGTGACCTGGAGCCCATCTGTACTCAAAACACACCAATTAGTCAGTGGCACTCAATAAGCAAAACAGAATCACCGGGCGCCAAAAGCTGTTGGTCAAGGGGCATAAACAATGAGGCAACACTGCCTAGAACCGCAAGCTCCTGGGCAGAGCGCAACGGATCGGCTAATCCACTGAAAACACTGCACATGTAGATATTTTGGAGAAAAGATGGTTCCCCTCCACATGATTAGAGCTGTCACCTAAAGTAACTGAGGTTCTCCTAAACCCTGTCATATAGAATGGAACTACTGTTTCTTACGACTGTTCACTGTGTAGACTTCTGATCTTTATTACCTTTTGGAATGACATTATGTTTCCAACCTAAGGGGTAAATAGCTCTCTTTTTCCCCCTACAAGTTTCAAAAGGCATTCCTGGTCCAACTACTCAAGGATTTGATTCTCAAATTTGTGTTCCCCAAAAGTCAACCATTTCTATTCCCTCTTCTCTCAGGCAAAACTTCCAGTACTGTACCCATAGTTTTAGGTGCTGCCTCTCTGCCTTTTCATGAAGCACGACATCCTTTTTTGGCCAATGATGGCTAATGATGGCCACAGCATTCCAAGAACTGAGCATCCTGACTTTGTACAAAAGTTGAGGTCACGCTTTCTACTTAGTTTCTAATCCTTTTCAACTGCTATCTTCAAGGACACCATTCACAAGCCCTTCGGGACCCATTTCCTATAGTGTTACTGGAAGCCTAAGGCCCTAATATATTGTTACTAAGATGTTGTCTAAATGTTTGAAATAAATACATTGTTTTATTCCTTCTCACAACAAATCTCCCTCTCAAAGCCTTGGGAGATTCTGATGTAGCCAGGGGGGATACAAGTGCACTCAAACTACACTTTCTCTTGAGTATAAGGTTGGAACTTTTAGGTTAAAGGGACTTACTCCTCCTATCCCACATATAACATAGATTATGGGGACACCATATCTTAGCAGCCAGGGCATCCACACAATAAAAAGGGCAACATCACGTCCAAAAACATGGTCTCAGAAGAAATAGGATACTGAGAAGTCAGAAGGGATAAAATGCAATTAAGTTAATATGCTGTAAAAAATATGCAGGGAGGGGAAAATTAAGATATATGATACTAATAGTGAAAGATTTTTTTAAAAAAGCAAGCATGGAAGTGTGACTTGGTTGGAAACAGACACTGAAAAATTAAACTCTCCTGAACGTAGCCACTGCACTTAACTATGTTCCCCGGTTAAAATTCAATGACCACAACTGCCCCCTCCAACAATGCAAGTTGCAAAGGACTGAAATGCTAAGAATATAATCAGCTAGGATATGAAAATCATGGTTCTCCAACGTGAGCCGCAATGTAACCGTTAAAAAAAAAATAAAGAACAAGCATAACAGTATCCAGGTAACCACTCGCACAACTGACCCTGAACCCCAGCGCAGCCCAGGAGTGGAAAGTCCTGCAGACGCTCGAGATTAGCGACTACACCTGGGCCCCGGGCCGCTCTATCTCCCCTCCCCCCGCCCCGTTCCCTTCTCAGAACCAGAACCGCGCGCACAACTCTGCACACAGGGCACTACGTCAAAGGTCAAAGTTGCCTGTGCCGCCCTAGGCGGAATCCCCGGGCCTCAGCAAGCTCGGATTCGGAGTCTTTACAAAGTGATGTCTATGACTCTTTGCAAACCAGCAAGCGAAAGTAACGAGGGGGAGAGAGAGGAGACAGTTTAGGCGAGGAAACCACCCTGACAGAGAATGCAGAATTATCATACAAAATAACTGAAACATAAAATTAAAACCTGGAGGCAAACTACCGTTTGAGCCAAGCCGCGAGCCCCAAAGTCACGCCTCGACCTTGTGCACACATTAAAACCGTCTTTTCTTGCACGCCCGTTCCGAAGTGCATTCACCGACACTCTCCAGAAAACCTTCATCGGCCCTGCGACGGCCAGAACTTTAGAACCGAGGAGACCGAGTATCTGCCCAGGGACGCTGGGTTTTGGGGGAGTGGAGGCTGCCGCGCCCCCGCAGGCCCGGACGCGCGGGGCAGGGGCGGGGGGAATTCACCGGAGTCCCGCGGGCCCCCGGCGGGGCCCTCCCGCCAGCGCTTCACCTGGGGCGGGCAGCAAAGCCACGGGCGCGTGCCCCCGACGGCTCACCTGCGCGATGCCCGCGCCCATCAGCCCGCCGCCGATCACCGTCACGTGCTTGACGATGATTTTCTTGGCCGCGGCCGAGGCGGCGGACGAGGAGGACACGGAGCGCACGAACTGCCTCGTGACGAAGGCCATGATGCGGCGGCTGCTGCAACAGCGACGGGACCCGGGCGCGGAAGGCTCCGCGGACGCCAGCGGCCGGGCAACCTCTGGGGGCGGAGACCCTGGCGGCGCCGCTGCGCGCGCCCTTAGCGACCCCGTGACGTCAGCGGGCAACGGGGCGGGGACTCGAGGCCGGCTCCGCCCATTGGCCCAGGCCGCGGGCGCCACGTTCGAACGTCTGAGCGCGTCGTCCGGATCCAAATGGGCGCCGCGGGTCGCTGCCTTCCGCCGCTGCCGGGGGTCCGGCTGCAACAGCAGGACCGGGAGGCTCGAGTTCCGGTGTAGAGCCGGTACAGGTCCTTATTTTGAAAAGCTACCGGTGCCTTGTTAAATGAATCGCGCGGTGTTGATTTGGTAAATCCTCTCCTTTGATCCTTGTGCATACCTGTGGCGCTGAAGAAATATATGCCTCTCGGCTGTGGTGGTAATGGACCCAAAAGGTGCACCCTTGGTTGATGCCACCAAATAATCAACTCTAGGAATTATTTTAACCTGTCAACAGTGATCGTTTCACTGTTGATCATTAAGTGGGGAAAAAACTTAGACTGCTAACACCCAAAACGAATGTCTAGTGACCCGTGAGTTCCAGTGAAAAGATCAGGCCCAGGAAAAGGAAGCGGAGAGATGACTTTTAGTTATGCATTGCGGTATTGGACATCTATCAATGCAGTGTATGTACATAAGGACGGTTTAAGGTCCAAAGAACAGCCTTTGTGCAGTAACTGATAATACTAGAAAGCACAGGAAAGGACTGTCTTTCCAAATAATAGAAAGCTTGATACCAACGAGGTCCATCTTTTCACTTGTGTGCACTTTCTAGTTACTGTGCCTTCGTGATACAGAATTTTTGTTATTTACTTTAATTGTTAAAAGAAAAACTTAAGATAAATTAAATTTAGCAGAGTTTATTTGAGGAAAGAAATGATTTGTGAATCAGACAGCACCCTGAACCAAAAAAGGTTCAGAGAGCTTCACTCAGCAACAGTGGGCAGGCAGTATTTATAGACAGAAAAGGAAAATGACATCGGGAAATGCCCTGATTGGGTTAAGGTGCCCATTTGCCTCATTTGGACATAACCGAGCAGTTTGCAGCCTGCGATTAGCTAAAAGTTTGGCTGTTATGATTGAGACTCAGCTACTTGTTACAAGAACATAATCGGGTTAGACTGCAGTTTATTTACATATTAAGATAGGTTACAGGCCGGGCGCGGTGGCTCACGCCTGTAATCCTAGCTCTCTGGGAGGCCGAGGCGGGCGGATTGTTTGAGCTCAGGAGTTCAAAACCAGCCTGAGCAAGAGCGAGACCCCGTCTCTACTAAAAATAGAAAGAAATTAATTGGACAACTAAAAATATACAGAAAAAACTAGCTGGACATGGTGGCGCATGCCTGTAGTCCCAGCTACTTGGGAGGCTGAGGCAGGAGGATTGCTTGAGCCCAGGAGTTGGAGGTTGCTGTGAGCTAAGATGACGCCACGGCACTCTAGCCCGGGCAACGCAGTGAGACTCTGTCTAAAAAAAAAAAAAAAAGAAAAAAGAAGATAGGTTACAGTTAGAGTTGGCTGTGTAGGGAGGCAGCTTTCAGCCAAATTTAATTTAATTTAACAATTTCCCCCTTTACGTCAGCCTCTCAATTTTGAGAGATTGACCTAGACCTTGTGCATTGACACCACTTTCTGTTGCTGTCCTAATGGACTCGTTTGGTCTCACTATGGAATTCACAATTCACAATGTTAGATTCACTGGATGATTTTGCTTTCTTCGTGTCGTTATTCTAATTGTAAAGACACCATTTGATGAACAAAGGATGGCTGCATACAAGCATTTAACCTCTTGAGGGTAAAGAACACATCAGGGAAACAATTATGATGGCTATCGGGAAGATGATACCAATAAACTGAGGTACACTCCTTAACAGAAGTCTCTGCAAACTGAACTGATTAAAATCAAACAATTCAAAGTTCAGGCAATAAAGATAATTCAACAGTGTTGGGGTCCAATTGGTCATAGTCTTTGTTCAGGGCACTACAACGAGTAAGGGTCATAGGTCGCCGAATGGCCTGAGTCAGCCTGATGCCCTGATTTAAAGAGGTGTCCGTTTTTGTAGTCAGCCTGGCAACACAAGTCTTAATTACCTGGGGACCCACTTGAAAGAAGCATAAAAATTAGCAAAGCTTGGAATAGCCAAGCTTGACATTTACCATTCAGGATGCCTGCAAAGCAGTTGTTAGCTGCTCCCCTAAACATATCATGTGTTCCTTTCCTCTGAGAAATTTCCTTAATGTATTCAGTGGAAGCGTCTAGAGAAATGGCAGTATCTGCCACCTTTTAAATTAAGATTTCTGTAGTAGTTATATTAGAGGAAAGATAAAGTGCAGCATTCGGTTTTGTTCAGTACCGTACACAAGTCCCCAACACGGGCAGAGAGATCTAAAGTTGTATAATGCCCCATTAGGTGTTTTTGTTGAATGTGGACATTCTCATTCACTTTTTGGAGAGTGGCTTCTACCATCTGAACCCCTGGGATGTCTGATTGGCTACAAAATCCAAGATTTTCCCTAATTTTATAGATTAGTTTCAAATTCCATAATTCCATACAACCAGCACCGCGCTACTGCCAAGAGTAAACCTCCAGCAACCCCATTGGAACGTTTCCTCAGCGAAAACTAACTTACCGTCATCTATTTCGAGATGTACTAATTTCTGATATTGACTGCTTTAACCTCTGATTCTGGGAGATATTACTGGAACTTTCAGGGAAAGCTCTTTGGAAGGCAGGAGTAACTAGCAAATAGCAAGCTCTGAACCAACAAAGCGGCAGAACAGAGTAAGCAAACTCTTCACAGACCCACGATAGGCCCTTGGGGGCTAGAAAGGAGGGTCACCTGGTGGTCTCTGAGCAGAGGTCAGTTAAATTTGTTCTTCTGTAAGTCAGCATAGCTCCTGAACAGGGTCCAGGGGGAAATTTACTTTTTTGTGGTCTCTTTGTAGCATCCTATAAAGGTGCAAACCACATTTAGTGGAAAAGCACTTTACTGGAGTTAACACAGTGACACCACACAAGCAGTTACTCGTACCCACGTGGGTAGTCCCCACCTCTTGAGTAGAAGATGCCTGGAAGCATGATGTACCTTTTGCAAGCATCACTCTAATGGGTTTTCTTTCTATTTTTTTTAAAGTTTCATTTTATTTATAATTAACATATTATAACTATACACATTTATGGGATACAGTGTGATGTTTCAATGCATGTATACACTGAATAATGATCAAATCAGAGTAATTAGTATATCCATCACTTTAAACATTTATCATTTCTTTGTGGTGGTAACATTCAAAATGTTCTCTTCCAGCTACCTTGAAATATACATTATTATTAGCTACAGTCATTCTACTGTGAACTAGAACGTGAGAATCATTCTTCCTATCTGTAACTTTGTACCCACTGAGGAACTCTCTTCATTCCCCCACCCTTACCTAGGTTTTGCATATTCGGTGGCAATTAGGTTATCAATTGGAGAGGTAAGTGTACTGTTTCCAGCAAGTGTAGGAAATCAAGTAGCAGTGATGTCTAGAATATCAAGGATAGCTTTCCACTCTTCCATTGGGATTCAGGGTGAGTGTGATTAGGAGCACAGAGAGACACTGGCATTAGTGGAATTGTTTCCTGATTTGGGGGTGTTAATCCACAAACCCAACAGTTGCTCTGGTTTCTTGCTAGAGCATAAGCCTTTGCTAAAGCCATTCACAGAGTATTGTCCCATGGGTTTTTCTGTAAGGAAAGGGAAGGAATTACAACAGCAGGAAACAGGGGGGAAAGGAAAAAAGATAAGGCTTTCACAATGGCAAAGAAGTCTTCATCCGCGATCTTAGGAGAGCCGTCCATATATAGGATGCCACCTGCTTGTAGGGAAATTTTCTCTGCTCTGCTTTATTTTAAGGTCTCCAACAGGTAAACAGTTCTAGGAGTCTGTAGCGGCCCTTTTTGAGTTGAGGGATGTGGATCCAAGATTTGATGCCTTGAAGTTTTGCTGCATAGAACTTGCTATGGGCCCTTTCAACAGAGTTCAGAGGCGGGCTTTCTCTAGTGTCATTTCCGAAAGACTCAATCTCCAGGTTCCAGATCGTGAAAATTTTGATTGTCATCAGTTGTTGGGTCATGAAGGGCTGCTTTTACCTGGTGAAAACATGCTTTGGCATATACAGTAAAGCCTTGTACTACCGAGCCATGTCAGAGTTCCGAAGAGCGAAAAATACACGAGGCCTTCCGTCACTATTTCATAAGAGTTCGATCTATGTTTTCCAGTGGGAGTGGATCTGGTCGCCATCAATCAGTAACACCTTTCACCAAGGCAATCTAATCAATTCAGTTAGCTCTCCCCGATGCTATTGGAAAAGCAATACTTTATTTAACTGAAATGCCCTATTTAACTGTTTTACAACTTGTCCAGTGAAATGATTACCTCCATTTCTGGAAATTTCCCCAGCAATGCCCTATAAGGGAAACACATTTTCTAATAATCTTTTAGCTACTGTTAGAGCATTGGCCTAATTGCATGGGAAAGCTTCTATACAACCAGAAAAGATTCATTGAAGGTGGCGTATTTTACAGTGTGAGTGAGAGTTTATTTTCACTCTGTTGCTAAGGAGATGAAATGTTCATTCCACGCCAAACAGATTTTGCACACAGGGAAACAGTTGCCCGTTTCACCATAAGCATTAATCGTTGTGGGGATTCATTGAGTGCAGGTTAGGAATCTTTTTGTGTCTTATAGGAAGTGAAATATTTCTGAAATATTGAGAATGAACTGTATTTCTAACCTCAGCCAGCAATCTCCAAATTGCTTGCATGAGATCACAAGACTCACCGCGCAGGGCAGTGATGATGGTGTAATACGAATTCATTACCATCCAAAGGGGAAATGACCTACAGAATACGGCCTTTCATAGAAATTATACCTTTTGATGTACCTGCCTAGGATTTCCAGGTGTGAAGTTTTATATATCTAAAGTTAACCATTTACTAGCTTTAACTACAACAGTAATGATGAAGGCCAGCACTTTGAGCAATTTCTACTATATATACTACTTGCTTATG